ACTATTAATATAAAACGGTCATTTAAGCAAAGCTAATATTGTCTAATGTTGTCTTTTCTCAACTTTTCAGCATTTTAGTTTTTGCTCTTGTAACTTAGCAATTGCTAAACTGTGAATAATTTTGATTCTCTGTGATAAATTGTGTGTGATGTCCTTTACCTAAGTAGCTTTGGATAAAAGCATCTGATTAAATCCAAATATATATTACATAAATACACAGACCCCCTGGGTTTGGCGGTCGCGCCGGCGATACCAGCTCGCTTTTTTTCTTATCAGTGCAAAAGAGACTCAAAATACTCTGTTGATTTTGATCTTACATATGTAAGTGTTATACATCATTCAAAACTGTTAAATGTCTTCATTTATTTGTGTATACTCATAATAAACACAAAAATGTTGTGTTTTTCATAAAATAAAATAAAATAAACAATGCGCATTCTGCCGTCTCTCTCAATGTGAGGTTCATTCTGAAACGCGATAGAAAATGAACTGTAACTCAGCGAATGTTTGTCACACAGACTTGAGACATATGTCTTTAAAGAGCTTGAAGTCAAAATATCAAATTCTAAATATCAAAAACAAATATTCTGTTTAAGTAATCCGTATGAAAGCAACGACATGAACAGTTTCTTCAGTCCGTGCTCATTAGCTCTAATGTGACCACACCCACACGCGCAAGAGCGATTGACATGCAAATCGTCCACGTGAAGTAACGCAGAAGGAACGCCCTGTAAACGCCCCATCACCTCACAAACAAAGAATCAGTAGCCTACCCCTCTGCTTTTCATGAGTTTGGAAGACACATTGTGTTTGTGCTGTGCTGTCCAGTTTACCTTGGATTTACCTCAGAAGAATTAGAAGATTGCGATTTGAAGATGAGAAAGATTTTTAAGGTAAGACATGTCCACTCATAATAGTAAGCATGTTATTGTTATATAAACTTTACATTGTAGCAACTAGTCAAACTGGTACCAGACTAAAATGTACTTTATGAAATGAGATTGGAGTAAAAACATGAAGCCTAATGCTAAATTTATATACTTGTACACAAGGATGTTTTTATGTTCGGTAATAAAACACAGCATGATATAAAAGTAGGCTAGTATGAGTGCTCTAATATGGTGAATATTATAATGTTTAGACCCGTGTTTACTGTTAAATACTGTTTTTGTGGATATCTGCTCAAACGTAGATAATGTATAATTTGGTAACAATAATGTTTCATAGTTTGGAGCGGCTCGATTGCTTCAGTAAATGTTCTCTGCACGCACTGTGAGTTTTAGTCACTCGCGCTGTGGGTTTGAAAGGCATTAGGCTTCATGTTTTTACTTACTCCAATCTCATTTCATTACATCATAACGAATGTAAACATTTGAAGTAACATATGATAATCCATATATTTTTCTTTAGTGTAGTGTTACTGAAGTGTTCATTTTTAACGATATATAGGCCGCCAGCTATAGGCTTTTATTATTATTATTTTATGCCGCCCTACACGTATATGCCTACAAGGTACAACAAACCTGGTGTTCATTTTATATATATATATATATATATATATATATATGTGTGTGTGTCTGTATTTTGTCAATTTTAAATCACAATAATTTTAACCAGAAAAATCTAAAACGTAATCCCAAAATCATGCAGCCTATAGTTTATCTTGTTCTTTAGTTTATCAGCATGTTAACAGTGGTTTAGTTTTTTTTACAAGGACCAGATTCTACTGATGAGTCCTGCTGACTTAAACATTCACATGAGTCTCTGTACATGAACATGGTAAAATGAAAAATCAAACACCTTGGAAATGACAGGTATTTACTATGTTTCAGGAATGGCACAAAGTTATGTGACTGTTCAAGTCTCTGTCTTTAGATCAGTGTGTTCAATAATGAGCTTTTTTTGTTCTTTGTTGTGTATCTTTGGATTATGTTGTATTGTAAATAAATCCAAACAATCAAAAAAACATTCTTTTTTAAATCTCTCCTCATTCTTTGTGCAAGGTTCCTCATAATGATAGGGCCTGCTAGCACCTGATAGCGCCATTATGGGAGGGTCTTTGTCTTTCTAAGGTGTGAAACACATCAATATTAATGTATGGTTAACGCCTCCCCGCATAAAGCTTTCTTACACAAAACATGTCTTACAAATTTTAAATCAATATATTGTTTTATCTGAATGAGTACGCAGGATGATTTTCACATAGTTTTGAAGCAAATATTCTAGGCTACGTGATAAAATTTCCAAAAGTCTTGTAAAGAAATAATCAGTATGGGTTTCATGACCTTATTTCAGTGACAATTTTTTTGTGTTTTTTCACAAACTACCGTAATTCCTCAAATAAAGACCGGGGCCTTTATTTACCTGAACTGCAGATGGTAGCCGGCTTTTATTTGAAGCAGGCTTTTATTAGAGGCAGGCCTTTATTTCTAATTCGCGATCCCCGCCCGCCCGCCAGCCAAGTTTCCATGGTGACGCGTCATGCTTGGCACGTGTTCACCACAGCCAAAATAGCGCTGTATGACAGATGTAGCGCTTTTATTTCTAAATATTAACAAACTTGCTTACCATGTCATCAACTATCTTCTATTCTGACTCTCAAATCCGTGTAAGTGAGTTTGTTTTGTCGTTTAAAACCCTTTATAAATTATCTTAATCTGTAACGTGAGATGGGCACCGCAGTTCAGAGGTTCCTGTCTGTTGGATTTGTTACGTTACAGCGCGTGAATTCTTCAGTTTCTCCCGAAATACATGAAAGTAAGTGGCCGGTGAACTGGGAGAAGAATAGAGTAAACTTTATAGTTACTTACACTGTGTATCTGATATGAATAAAACACGTCGCCAAATATATTTGAATGGATTGTTATTGCTGCTTCCATAGACACCATTGTGTATTTTACAAACTATAAATGTATTGTTTTGCTATAAATCATATCTATTTAAATGTCTGAAACCTAAAATAAACATGTGGTTAAAAACACTGAATAGTTGTGATATGACAACCGCTGAGCGAGTCCGTCTTTGAGTGTACACTAATTTTTCCCCGGCCTTAATTTGAGACCGGCCTTTATTTGTCCGCGTTGACCACGCCCCCGGCCACTATCAGAGGCCCGGCGTTTATTTGAATACCGGTCTTTATTTGAGGAATTACGGTATGCATAAACATCATTATCTCAAAACTACAAGCTTTTACATATATGATGCTGACATATTATTGTAGTTTGTGCTGAATACAGTGTAATAAGAATTTAGCCATGAAAATGTCACAAGTAACAGAAAGAAGCACAAATCAAATGTCAGAGCATGTCAGGACACCTCCAGGACCCAGAAAACACCTCAGACCCCAGAGGGTTAATAACAATGACCATCTACAAACCTCATTATAGTATAACTTTGACGATTTTCAACCCGCTTTGTATTGTTACAATGTCAGTAGTACTATATGCTCGTTCTCCGTGTCACCAGGACTGAGAAATTCATTTCAGCCACATGTATTTGTCAGCCACAATTCAGGGCTTTCATAAAAACTACAGAATATACTTCCGCATTTTTGTATCCCCACCCACAGACAGTCGGATCGACAGAGGGTTATTAACAGAACAGTTATTGTAAGATTATGCTTATCATTGAAAATTGCATTGTTTGTCTACTCTTTAAACAGCATTATGGTAAAAATAGGACACCATGGCAGTAGCTTTTTTACCTGTACCCGGTGGTGTTTTTCTTTGAGGGGTTGGGCAGAACTGACAGAACAACAGTTCCCTTTAGAGTTTGGTTCTCTCGACATTGTGTCAGTCGCTGATGCTATTGGTAAACGCTTTTTTCAGAGAATACTGAAGCCCTATGAAATCTCGCAGACAATGGCGTTCAAGCGCGAAATAGAGGCAGGCTCTTCCGCTCAATAAGGCGCCGCTGAACGTTTTTCTCTCAGAATCTTTCTCTTTCAGACTGCCTTCAAGAAGCCATCTACAGCTCGCCGTTGAGGTATGCTCGCCAGAGGACGATTCCTGGATTGCCGCTCACCCTGTAGCATTCCCGTGAGTATGACATTTTTCTTTCAGATTCCTTCCGGACCGCTTTGTTTTCTGCCTGGGCGATGCCCACTCAGAAGCACCGCTGCTCCTGACTCATGTGATGAGCTCTTGCCTACAAAGTGTCCGCGTTTCTCTCACCCAACCCTTCAGGAAACAAACCCGGCTTCTCATGCTCTCTCTTCTGTGGTGGAGCTGCGAGCTGAGCAAAGAGACTACACCTAAGGGTTTTCTAGTTCCACAGGTCTCTGCCATGTACAGAAGAGAAAACATTTCCCGCCGCTCACTTATTCACACTATATAAGCATCCCCCTGCCTCAGAGCAGCAGTCAGTCGTGTACAAAGCACAAAAAGCTTCCGGCCGCAACGATATTCACACGAAATCCACATGATGTCCGCTCACTCATTCACACACACAATATTGCCTGCCTCGAATAAAGCGTAATGTGTTTGGGATTAGGGCTGGGTGATCTAGCCAAAAAAAAATCATAATACAATTTATCGATTTTTATCGAAATGTCTGCCATTCTTTTTTATTCTATATTTTGTTACTTTGTAAGGTTTTTTAAATAGGGACATTAGTTTGTCTGTACTGCTCAGTCACTTGCAAAATAGTAAAACCAACATGAAAAAGAATCGTGATAAAATCGTGAATCGTGATTTTCCTGAAAAAATCGTGATATGATATTGTTGCCATATCGCCCACCCCAAATTATGGGTGTTTTAAGTCTTCCTACCTATTTGGCCAAAGGTAAGACAACAGCCTTTTTTCTCCGTTTTTTTTTTTTTTGTCAGGTACCATCAATTAAAAAAAAAAAAAATCGCCTTTTTACTGTATAGGCATACAGCCAAGTTCTCTTTTAGGTTGTTTTAGGCTAGTTTGGACAAAATTTTGAGGAATATTAACATTTAAAAAATAATAATAATTTTATCTAGATTTAAAGTACATTATTTGCAGTGATTGCTTACCTTTGCAGGCTCGTCTGTGTGAGATGGCCTTGGTCATGTCTCTGTAGTAGCCCTCTTTACAGTAGTGGCAGTGGCGTCCGGCTGTGTTGTGTCTGCAGTTGAGACACACTCCTCCACTCCTGCGGCCCGATAGCTTATACAGCTCCATGTTGAAGCGGCAGCGGCGGGCATGAAGATTACAGTGACAGGCTTTGGAAGAGATGGACATTGGGAAGATGAGAGAAAAACAAGAGATATATTTAGTGGCAGTTCTTCAATTATCACAAATACATTACCTTGTCTGTTTCTGTTTAAAAATATTTTTTACACATTCCTTTTGAGAGCTTTAACTGACAGGAAATTGCAAAGGGAAAATGACTGCGAGATCACATTCCAACAATTTTACAAGTGCTTATCTGTAAAATACCCATGAAGTACATTTCTCAAACATTATATATTTTAGTGAACAATCATACAATTGCTTTATTGGTGGTGAAGGTTGTACCACTTCTGGTAATGTGGAGTCTGAATCTGATGTGATGTGAAATGATTTTCTGTCCCCTGGTGATCATAGAATACCATTAACACAGTGAGCGAGAGAGTATAGGCCAGATTCATCTAGACATATGACTAGTATCCTGAGAGAGTTTTATTATTTTAATGACATCATTGGATCTCTGGGCTTCCGTCCATTTACAATGTTTCAATAAGAGACAATGGCTTTATAAAACTACTCGCTCCAGATCCGGCACACACACACACACCTGCCCATGGCTTTGACCTCCAACCCTTACTGGCAAATGGTGTTCAAGCTTCATCTATTTCTACAGGGGTTGGACAATGAAACTGAAACACTGGCCAATATAGTGTTGGAGGTTGCATGTCTGTATATGCGAGGCCTGGTGGCCAATCTTCACTGATTGCACATTCCATCAGTAAGAGCAGAGTGAAGGTTGAATTAGCAGAGCAATAGCACAGCTGTACATAAAATATTGCAATACACACAACATAACGGGAGACATATCAGAGTTCAAAAGAGGCAGATTGTTGGTGCGCGTCTCACTGACTAGGCTATCTATCTTTCTATCTGATCAGTGTGCCGCACAAGTCCTGAAAAGTGAAGCCAAAGCTTCCCCAGGTGGCTGGATGCAGTATAGGTCATAAACCCCGCCCTCTTCATGTAATCGAATGGGACGTAAGACAAACTAAACAATCAAATTACACTTCAAATACATTTTTTCCAAAGATGTTTTCTGTCATTTTCGGTAGTTTTTTTATCACGCTGATGTAACTTCAAGAGTTCATTCTTTAAATAAGTTTAGTTTTAGTTATTTGATGCTATAAAAACGGGACGTCATGATTGACAGATGAGATTGACAGCTTCTCTGAGTGAAGTAGTCACTGAGGCACCAACTGACTTTTTTCTGGATTTTCTTGAGGAGAATGGAGCTTTAACTTTAATTTCTACAATTGCATTACTGTTTATTTCACTCCAACCTAATGAGTTGTTTGCAGTAAACTGTACCAGAGACAATTTATATAGAGACATGCCACTTCCTCAATCCTCAATACAACTATATAGGGAAAACCCGTAACGGCAAAGATGGCGGTTGTATGCACATGCCCCGCCCCTCCCGCTGGAAAGCTTTTAACAGTCAAGCCGGGAAACATGTAAGCCTATCGTCTGGTTCCACTGACGCATGCGCACAGTTGAGGTTTGTGACAGCGGAGACGAGAACCCTTGCGCATGCGTAGTAAACATATAACCTGTCGGGAAAAAGACCTTTTAAACCTTATTTTGGGGCAAAGTCATCAAACTTTTTCAGCGTTTTTTATCATATTTTACTGCTGTTTCTATACAAGCAGTTTTTATGTCCCGGTGACCAGTGAAAGTGCAGTTCTGACTCTCTGCCCATTCATTTAGATAGGAGCCTGGTCTTGTTAGTCCGAAATAGCTGCCCGGCTTTATTAAAAAAAAAAAAGCTGCGGCTTTATTAAAATGGAAGAGTGAAGCTGCGTAGTCCTTTTTTTTTTTTTCAGTCTATGGATCGATATAGAACAGAGATGGGCAACTCCATTCCTGATATAAAGTATATACGTTGAAATAACCACAAAAGAGAAGCCACATTCGTACTGCTACACACAGACTGAAGGCACCATCACACCTGCTGAGTGAAATAGGGACATGGACTGTCACTCACACATACACAGAAAAAAAGTGCTAAGCAGCTGTCATGTTTTATCCTGCCGACACTTCAACCACTCATCATAGTGATAACATACCAGGCCTTGACTATGTCTCTCTCTCTTTTACACACGATCTTCCATGCTACTTCTGATAGCGACAATTTTTTTACTTTAAGAAACGCATTTAAAAAATAACAGTGTGCTCATACATAGTCAAGTCAGTTCTGAAATGAGGCCTCCATGTTGAAATTATTTTTTGTGACTTTTCAGCTGGAAAAACACAACACAAATTGATATTGTAACAGTAAATGAGAATTGAAACTAATTGCTCTCCTTGCACCAGCTCCAGGGCACTTTCTTCTTTTTTCTCTGAAAAGAATGAACATGTTTTTCCATTTTCAAACCCTAATTCATTTTATTTGCGCCGAAATTTTTTCCTCACCCTCAGCAGATCTGTGCTTGTGTAATGTTTGTCAAAACATTGTTTGTTTGCACATTAAATCTCTTGCTTGTTTTTACTCCGTTATCTTCTTATAGGATCACAATATTATTACAAATATGTCACAATGTCAGTTAATCAGACATTGAGGAGATGATTTATTATTGATTGCCTAAACTAGCTGGAAATGGAAAAAGTCTGTTACATTTGTCATTCATCCAGGCACGCCAAGCTTGCATGTGAAAAGACATTCAGCCAAGCATGGCTCCATTATTCACAACAGAGACCAGCTCCTCTCACTACGAAAGCCTTGCAGGTTTTTTTGGGCAAGTGACTAGTAATCCTCAGAGAAATGAAAATCTAAAGCAAGGAGGTGTAGAAATGGGGCAAATGATCAGGTTAAACTCAGATGGTATAAACATGGTTAAATGAACTGAATCGTGCCATTAATGTTACCATTGAGTGATTCCAAATGGTGCATGTGTACCAAAGAGGGCAGATACATTGGTTAAAAAAAGACGACCCATCAGTGTTTGGACATCGTTTGTACCCAATATATATATATACTAAATACCACTATTTTACTACACCAGCTACTTTAAGAGTTTAAACTACAGCTCATTTCCACAGGCTTTTTTTATTATTATTATTATTTTGGGAAAGTAGCAAAGATTCCAGGAGTATATGACTGTACAATAATGACTGTACAATAATGAATCATATTTATCTATCTGGAATGCTTTTGATAGCCTTAGATAAATGTAAGCTCAAAGGAAAAAGAGAGTTACTCATGAGTCACTAATATGATCATTGATATCATAAATTGCCATGTGTGAGTTGAGAATAAGTATTTATGTGGAAAGAAGTGGATGTACAGCATCGGGGTTGACAATTTAGCAACTTTGTCACTAGATTAGTGACTTTTCGACTTATCATACACCTGTAGCGAGCGATTTCCCCCATTAGGCCTAAATATGTAAATGGAAACAGCTTTATTGGACATTCAGCTATATTAATATTAAAATACAGTATGTGAGCATGGATTAGGGGAGAAAGACCGTTTACACGACATCGTCTAACGTTAGTGACATATAGCGACTTTTTGAGCAGGCTTTACCAACTTTCCATTGTAAATAGACTCTTGCTTTTTTTCATTCCGTCAGAAATAAGAGTTAATATTTCTGTTTGATGTAGGTATAAAAACACATGATTTTAGTTGCTATCAGCTAATTTGAGTAGCTTTGGAGCTTTGGTGGTACAATTAACCCTAGGTTTGCCAAGTTAGAAACACACACTACTAACTTAGCCTACCTAGTTCTGAAGTGTTTCCAGTAAGCTAGTTTTTCCAATGAGAGGCAGAGTTACACAACCAAACGATACATTGTTTTTCAAATGCCTGAGCTGAGGGAATAATCAGTCACTCACCTCAACGGTCCTTCTCCTTCTCTATATGTAGGCTACTGTAGCGCAAGAAAGGCTTGAGTCATTCTAGTGAATCGATTAATCTTAAACGAATCTCTCTCTCTCTCTCTCTCTCTCTCTCTCTCTCTCTCTCTCTCTCTCTCTCTCTCTCTCTCTCTCTCTCTCTCTCTCTCTCTCTCTCTCTCTCTCTCTCTCTCTCTCTCTCTCTCTCATACTTTGGCTGCGTGATTCATTCTAGTGAATCGATTAATCTTAAACGGAATCTCTCTCTCTCTCTCTCTCTCTCTCTCCTCTCATCTCTCTCTCTCTCTCTCTCTCTCTCTCTCTCTCTCTCTCTCTCATACTTTGGCTGCGTGATTCATTCTAGTGAATCGATTATTCCTAAACGAATCTCTTTCTCATACTTTGCACTGTCTGATTCATTCTATAGTGAATCGATTAATCCTAAACAATACTCTCTTTCTCTCATACGCAGCAGTGAAAAGATAAATTAATTTTATTGAATCAGTTTATTCGGCTAGTTCAGGTAATGTAAATAAATAAATTAAAAACTGCTCATGATTCAAGTCCCTGTAGCCTACTATGTATTATATATTTTCGGTGAAAATTAGGGTGTATTTGTTGTATTTTTGAGTTAGCAAAAAATCAGCTCTGATGAAATTATGAAATAATTGGATTCTTATGTTTTTTTTTTATTTAGGCCTATAAAAACATATTGCCCCTTGAGTAACCTTTTTTTTTTTTTGAATTTGGAAAAGGTTTCAGAGGTCACTATAATTACACTATTCTCAATGATTAAAGAACTGTTAAAAAAATATATGCAAATGCTCTCACAAACAAAACGCTCTTCTTCTCATTTTTAAAAACTCTTTCCTCTCCCGCGTGGCTATCTGGAAGAGCCTCTGTTCACCCGAGTGTGCTGTGATGTAAGGACGGTGAGAATTAAGGGGAGTTTCCGTTATGGGCCTCTGTAATCGTTTGCCAGCTCCAATTAGCGGGGCAATCGGACCTCCCTGCTTTTTGTTTGTGTAACTGCTTGCCACAGTTGCCTAGTGAAAGTGATATACAATGTCTCAACAAATACGATCTGACCAAATTAAGCCACAGCGCGCGCTTAACTAGCAAAAGACAACAAAGAGCTTTCACTGGCTGTGAAATTGCT